AGAGAGGGCTGTAAAGCACTGTGAAGTGGTATATAAGTCTAAGTGCTATTGCTAGGGGAAAGCATATATACATCTAAGTGCTATTGCTTTTGCTTTTGTTATTGTACCCCATCAATGATTCAAACTCACACATGAAGTGTGTGGATTGACTGCATTTTGGAGCAATGGGATAGGCACCGAATGAACCAACCATTTTAATCTTCCAAGATTGCCAGATCTTATTTCTAAGTCCCATGCGGATTCACCAATATCCCAGGTGTTTGGGATCATGGATGGATGGAAAGAAGACTTTTTGAAATATCTGAAAGTGTCACAAATATCTACAAAGGTGAGGCTACGTTTTCATGAAAACTGGAGTTAGATCATGAAACACTGAATTATTGTCATTCAATAAAAGGAGAGTGTTAAACTCAAGGCATACTTTCTTCTCCTATAACTGATAGGGTACATAGATTTTTCTTGACCTATGAATCAAGAATGAACAACTGGACATCAAATAAGAATGTAATTATTCACTTCTGAAATCAAAGGAAACAGAACTTTATAATCTGAAACTTATTAAGTAGTTCAAGGTAGTGTTGAGAATATCCCTAGACCACTCTTAAGCCTATAAGAGCCTATAAGCCTATGATTTGCAGAAAAATAACAGAACCATGGTATAATATGCTTGTGACATTAAGCTCAAACTATGCTTAGATAATGGCTTTTGACCACATTTTTATTTACTAGAATCAACTAAACATTGATGTGGCCTAAACTTCATTAGAATATTGGAAAAAATGATAATTTCCAGAGCACAATGATAAAGACAACATTCCATTTTAATGCTGAACATATTTATTTGCAAATGTATTTTTTTTAGAGAAAACCAGCGTTAACCAGTATTCCCAATTAAGAAGAAAGTGTCCTCAAATCAACAAAAGAAACATTACTGGAACCCTTCTCAGAAGAAAGTAGCATTTTCCCTTTGGTGTAACATTAGGAAGAAATTATGGAAGCCAGAAAGAGAAAGTGTTGGGAGGGATCTGTGGATTTTATTCTGGACAAATGCAGTTGGTGAATCTATAAAAAAAAAAGCGGGGGGGGGGGGGAGAAGTGAAAGTGAAATATTGGCATTAAAAGGCATATTTAGGCAACTAATTTTTCAGACTTTTGCCTTCAACCTCCTCTTATTCTCAATGACATTGATTCCAATAATCTACATCAGTGATGGCTAACCTTTTTGACACCAAGTGCCCAAAGCGCATGCACACACACACCCAAAATGCAACCTATGCGCCCCGTGCATGTGCCCCACCCCTGTGCATGCAATACATGACCCCCACATGTGTGCCCCACCCCCCATGCGTATGTGTGCGACACCTGCATCTGCGCCCCATCGCCCACGCATGCACGCACAACCCCCGCACATGCCTCGCCCCCCCGCATGCATGGCAGAGACTTGAAGAACAGGTGGCCAGTGGGAAGTGCACATTGGGGTAACGGCTTGTGTGCCCAGAGATGGCTCTGCGTGCCAGAGGTTCACCATCACGGATCTACATCAAGGGCCCCCAAATGTTTTGAATCGGTTCTATGGAGGGGAGTTTTTCCATGGACTGTAGGGTTCCTGGAGAGCTATGGTCTATTGCTGGCCTACAGCCCAGGTGTTGGACCTCCAAACACTTTGGACTGGTTCTATGAAGGGTAGTTTTTCCATAGACTGGAGGGTTCCTGGAGGGCTGTGGACCATTGCTGGTCCACAGCCCAGGTGTTGGGGACCCCTGATCTACGTATTTGAGAGCAAGTTGTTGTAAAGTCCCAGGAGAAATCTGCATACTATGCATCTGTGTTAAAACAAAGCGTATCTGTCATACTCACTGGGGTACATCTTCATACTGAGATGCTTTGATTATATTACCTGTAAAAATAAAAACAGAAATGTAATTAAGTAATTCAGTGCTAAATGATTGGAGTGTTCATTCTATGGTGGGTGTTACTAGGAATTAGTATTGTTTAATTGCTTAAAAAACACAATGATGGTAAATAATTGTAATTGTATTCCAATACTTGCTGAATTGATTCATCCCTAAAATATTCTGCAGAGCAGCCTTTGGATGATTCCAAAAGGGGCAAGAGATATAAATGAGGCAATACATAATTTTATATGACTCTTCCATCCTCTACAATTGCAGCCATATCAATCCCACATATATGCACTTATTGGCATTTAACTTGCTAAAAAATAAAACATCCTTGTGTTGTTTGGAAAAACTAGACTAGCAAAGACATTCTAAGTAATAATTCCTAAGGAAAACTGAGTGAAACTTTCAGAGTTTGGGAATCAAATCAGCAATATAGATTATCCTCACTTACCAATGGTGATTGGGATCAAATATTCTGTTGCTAAGTTACACGGTCATAACACACAATGTCATGTGATCATGCCAACTTATAACTGCAGTTGCAACAGTTCGAGTTGCCATCATTAGGCGAATGCCACTCTGTGTCCCAACATCGCATGATTGCCATTGGTGACTTCCTGCCTGCTTCCCCACTGACTTCACTTGTCAGAAGGTAACAGCAAAGGTCCCAGATGGGGTTCACATGATTGAGGGAGGGTGGAACAACTGCAATGATGTGGACCCATGATAGTCCTCGTTCAGTGCTGCTCAAACTTCAAACATGCGCAACTGTGTTGACATTAAATGAGAACTACCATTTTTTAAACTACCCACTGAAACAGACTGTCAATTTCGAAATGTGCCTGTTCTGACCTAGGCTTCCCCAACAGCACGTAGTCGACTCCTCGTCCCGATAAACCCCTTTTATTTAGTTTACAGTGAATTCGTCTCCAGCAAAGTCCCAGCTAATAGTCTTTCAAGATATTTCACATTTACAGACCTTTATCAGGCTTGGAGAGTTGCCAGGCCAATATCTTTCAGATGCCACACTGTAGCAAGAATTGGCAAGAATGCAGGAACAGATTTTCACCCAAATGAACTAATTATCTCCTGCAAAACCCCACTCCCCTTTCACACCTCTTTTATTCCCTATGTGAGGAGACAGTCAACCGTCCACCTCTGGCTTTACTCCCAAGTCACCCCTTGTTCCTTAGCTGCTCCCTTCTCCTGGCAGCTCTGTGCATACACACATTGGGAACAGGCTCCAGCTGTTCTTCTGCCTCACTGATGTCTGACTCCGAAGGTATCTGATAACTGGCAGGTGGCCCTGGCCCCATCTCTGCCTCTAATGCAGAGCGCTTATCAGAGCCTTCCCCAGACTCAAGGAATGGCCCAGGTTCCTCCCCAACCTCCTCACTGTCCAAATCTGCTGCCAGCTCCACTGGCTGCTGGCAGGCCACAACAATGCCCTGTTGTTGCAGCCATCTTTCCGTTTCTCAGCTTGCCACAGACTATGGGGGGGAAAGGGGGAAGAGGTTTGGAATACTGGCCCAGATAACAAGAAGAAATCGTCTTGTGGGAACCAAGGTCATCTCAAGAGATATTTGGCAGAGGCTTGAAGGAGTTGCCATAGAGACATCAGAACACCTAATTGGACAATGTGACCTGGTTGAAGGAGGGGAGGGAAGTCTAATTCATTCTTTAATTAGACGAAACCATGGGAACTAGCTAGAGTTGGTTTTGCTTCACGCATGCCAAAATGATGTACTCAATAATGCTTAAAAGAGATGTGATCATTTCATCTTGCTGACTTGGTTGGGTTCATCATTTGGAACCTTGACACAAACAGGTTATAAACAGTGATGTTCTCTGAAGGACTTCCTCCAAAACTTTTTGTTATTTTTCTGCATGGAGTAATGGACAGGTTAAAGTAGTGTTGTTGTTTTTTATCAACCTTCATAAGATATGTAGACGTCAACTCCTAGAATTCCCCAGCCAGATAATGCCAAGTATTAGTTCTAGTGAGAAGTGAGCAGCCTGAAATTTTCAATTTACGCTAACTTGATCCTACATGTATGTTGGGGAAAATATTCTGTCAAGCCCGAAATTGACATATGTGTAGCCATTTTACTTAGGCTTAGTAACTTCTAATATTTCTAACTTCTAATATTGTGGGGTAATTCCGGGTTGTGTCAGATCTGGAATTACAACGGACTTTGCCAATTTGATGCTTTCCTAAATAAAAGAAATTGTTTTGGAAGGTGGACTTTGCTTTTTTTCTTTTTAAATGGATTTCATCACTTGGAAACCTGACATATTATTGATTTTAAGGGCCAGCAGAATCTTCTTCTCTCACCTTCAAAGGAATAAGCCTGTTCTGACCCTACTCAACCGCCTACTCGTGAGGAGAAACTTCTTTTTTATTTAGAAAGGCAGGAATACAGGCATTCACTGACAAAGGTCCAGATCACCCCTCCATAGGTGATTCACAAGCCACCTCTGAGTTCCCCGCAGGGAACATTAATTAGAACTTCAATGCCAATACAAAGCATTGAAGCAACTTGGTTAGTGGCAAGGAAATCCTGACAAGGAATCCACTGGAGGGAACTCTTCTGGAGCATGAACGGTTACCTCTGACAACCATGCCTCCCACACCCCTCCTCCTTATATCCTAGCCAGAGAGAGGCTTGTTAACATCTCCTTCTTTTCCTAGATAGCTGGCCCTCAGCCCTGCATTGCTCTCCTCTCTGCACTTCTCTGCGCATACATACATCTAGGACAGGGCCCAGTTGTTCCTCCCCCTCACTCAGCTCAGGCCGATCAAAACAGCTGTCTTTCCACCTGAGCATGAGTAGATGAGCCCTGCTCAGCATCTGGCTCTGAGACCTGCTGCTTCTCAGGGAGCCTTCTGCCATCTCCAATGGTAACCCAGGTACCCCCTCCGTCTCATCCGACTCATCTGACTCGACTGCCATCTTCTCTGGCAGTTGACGAACTACAACAAAACCTTCATAAACAGTACACTTTCATACTTACTAGACTTTTGGAGCCTGATGTTTTTGGCTAAGGTGAGCAGATGTTCCAGATGCAGCTGTACCAGAGGGCTGAGCATTGGATGAAAGTGCAGACAAAGACAATCCAGGTGTACCAGAGGGCTGAGCATTGGATGAAAGTGAGGAAGCAAGGCTGGGTTGTGAAGCGTTACCATCTGGTCCAGATGCAGACAAAGACAATCCAGGTGTACCAGAGGGCTGATCATAG